CGAATCCCCAGAGGCACTCAGGAAAAACATCCTCTGTGCACGGAGCCCCTGAACAAGGGACCAGCAGCTGCTTCCTGTAAGGTCCTGGCCTGGGGCCTAGGGCAGAGCGTGACCTGGCCAGCAGCCCAGAGAAGACAATGGCAATGCCATGCCACTCTGTGCTCACAAGTCACCACCATGCCCTGGTCCACTGGACACCTCTGAGTGTGGTGCTGCGGGTCCCCCGCTGGGTTTATGAATTCCCCCTGCCCATTGCCCTGGGGGCTCCTGCCTCTCTGGCTCTGCTATGTCCTGCCACAGCCCTAGCTCCACCCAGCCCTTCCTCTGGACCTTCTGGGTTAATTCCATCACAGCCCTCTATCCCAGGATGGCCCCAGGTGGGTTCCTCCATCCCAGGCTGGGCTGTTAGTCCCTAGGCACAGAGGCACGGGCCCTGCCATGTGCCCCATGTGCAGAGGCCAGGCTCAGCAGGGGGCCACCCTTGAGGGGACTTCCTCTGGGGAGCCCTGGCCTCCTCTCCTGGGATCCGCCTGACTATCCTCTGCCCTCCACCAATCAGTGCGCCTCAGGGAGCATCCTCGTGTCTCCCTGGATATCTGGAGCCTCGGGAGCCTTGCTGGCCCACCCATCGTGGTGGGGGTCCCTCCTGGTCCTCCCCAGCCCTCTCTGGGCCTCCCCTCCTAGCGCCTCCTCATCTGGGTCTCCCCGCCTGTCTGACCCTCACTTACACCTTTTCACGACCACACCTCACTTGGCTCCTATGAAGTCGGCAGCTGGGAGGGGTTCAAGGAAGGCAGGAGGGTGCGAGCAGCCCCCAGATTCCCCCTCCTGCCCCGTGCCCCTTGGCTGGAGCACACGGGCCTAGCCAATGCCTCCCATTGCCCCAGCATCCAGGCAGGCTGTACCTGGTGGGGCTTACCTGGTGGTGGAGCTTGGGCATCTGTTCTGGCCCCTTTGGTGCTGGTGGGGATGCAGGTGAAGCTGAGGACAGCTCCCAGGAGGGTGGCCAGGGCAGCCAGGATGGCTGGGCACTGAATCCTGCGGGCAACAGCATCGGCTGCACAGGGCGAGGGTCCCAGGGCCCAGGTGCCCGCCTCCTCCCCCGACCTGCGCCTCCAACGGCTGAAAGCGGTTCAAGCCTGACCTCTCACGTCCCCACAGTTTATGACCTAAAGACTGGGGACCAGGACCCTCAGAGAACATTTACTCAGTGATGGATGAAGGAACCGGTGAAGCATTCACCATCCATGGCCCTCGCCATGGCACCCAGGCCCTGGCAGCCCCTGTGGGTGCCAGGTGTGGCAGCCAGGCTGGTGGGCGCCTGGGGTAGGCGGCGCATCCTCCCAGGAACAGCAGCTCCCACACTGGTCAATGTCAGGAGAGGCTCCAAAGGGCAAGCCTGGAGTGCGTGTCCCTGGGAGGGGCTCTCCGAGACCTGGGCGCCCGTGCTGTGTTATGGGGATGGTCATGCTGCCTTCCCAGTGGGGGCAAGGGCAGGCCTGGCACTTAGTGGACCCTCAGAAATTGCCTCCCCTCCTGGCAGGACCCCTCCCCACTTTCTAGAGTGGGTGCAGCATGCTGGGCTTGAAGAGGGCTTTGGGCCAGGGTTCATTCCAGAGACTCGCAAAGCCCCGGATCTGCCCCTCAGGCTGCTCTGCCACCTTCCCACCTGCCGGGCCACCACCAAGGCCTGTGACTCTGGCTCTCCTGTCAGCTTCTCTGCCATGAGTCCCCACCTGGAAACTCAGCCTGGGATTCCCCTGGAAGGAACCAGCAGGACTTGTCACCTGGAAATACAGGCGCCTGGAGTGGGCTGTTCTGTCACCATTGCCTCCTGGGGGCTGAGCCAGCCACCTCCCCTCAGGGAGAGGCAGGAGGACACTGGGGGCTTCCCACTGAGCCTGGCTGTAAGGCCTCCAGGCCTGACCACCACAGCTTCCCTCGCAGCAGCTGAGCAAACTCCTAAACAGTCTGCAAGGACCCTTCTTGGTGAGGCCCCAGCCCTCCTTCCCATACAGCATGCCATCTGAGAAAGACTCACTTTACCAGCTGCTAGACTCTGGTCCCTGAGGCAGGTGGGCTGAGGTTGGACCCTGCACTGAGACCACAGTGATCATTAGATGATGGGGCAAACATGTGAGCTGTTCACGCAGACAGCACAGGTCCTGCCCCGACCTCAGCAGAGCCCCCAAGTCCACCCTTGTCAGGGCCTCAGGGCGCAGACATGAGTAGGAGTCAGGGTTCTGGAAGGGGCCCTTGCACCTGAAAACACGGCCAGCCACAGACCAGTGTGTCCCCACCAAGTTCAAAGAAAGACCTTTTCTCCACCCCTCCTCACCACAGCCACATCGCACACACACACACGCACACACGTGCACACACGCTCATGCACACGTACACATACACACGCACACACATGCACACACGTGCACACACACGCACATACGCACACGCACACACACGTGCAAACTTGTATACATGCACTTACATGTACCCATTTGCCAGAGCAAGGAAGGGACGTGGTGCCGCACTGACTAGGACAGCCAGTGGGCCACCTCTGGGTACAGAGTCTGGGCATTGGCCAGCTCTCATTTCTCAGGCAGGACCCCTGAGCTCACATGGGTGGGGGTGGGGGTGCCAGCACACATCCATCCCGCCCAGCACCCGTGGCCCCAGGGTGCCAGACACGGGCTTTCTGGCCGCTGGGTTTCCACAGCATTGGGCCCTTCCTTTGGGAAAATGTCAGGGAAAGGACAGGGCTGGGCACTGGCCCCACAGCTTGTCCCTGCAGCCAGCAGGCACGGATGTGTGGTGTGGGAGGGACGCCTGGCTCCTGTGGCCAGCACCAGAGAGAAGGACCCTCTCTTTGGGACCCTGGCCTCAGAGGCCTGCATGTCACAGCTCACGGTCTGGCTGGGCAGGGGCAAAACCTGCCTTCTTTGCCAGATGCCCCAGAAGTGCACAGGAACAGAGGCGCCACTTCAATGGCTATTTTGGGAGGCTGGTGACAAGGAAGGCGTGGTGGCAGAGAGCCAGGCCCTCGAGTGGTGGCGGGAGAACCCAAGGCCAGTGCTGCTGTGGGCAACAGGGGAGCCTGGGACTGGGGAGCCCTGGAGGGCCCCAGAAGGGAGTCAGGGCCCGCAACTGTGCCAGTGGCCACGGATGGCTGCTGGGGGAGACTTGGGCTGTCCTTCCCCAGTCAGGGCTCTCTCCCGCTCCCCCCACATGAACTGCCAAGAGTGGGAAGGACATCGGGCACTCCGGCCTCAGCCCCGGGGCCTCTGCACACCTCCCCGGCCCCCACAGCCTGGCCATCCCCCAGGACCATTGAATCAAGGTTCCATTCGCACAGTGCAGTCAGCCCCTTCCGCTCAGCACCCCCAACCTCACCCTGACCTGCCCAGATGCAGGGGCACGCTGGCTTCCAGGGGCGCACCCGACACTTTTATCAATGGAGCCACTACCAGGAAGGTGGGGACAGCTTAACTGGTCTTTGTCCCCTCCCCCTCAGCTCACCTGCTGGGCGACCTCATTTCCTCTTATGCAAATGAGAGCGGGGCTGGCAGCCGCCCTGCCGCTCACCCCCTGTCCTGGGGCCCCTCTGGACATGCAGGACCCAGCCAGCCTGCATGCTGCCCACCGACCGCAGCCCACACCTGAGGCTGCCCAGACAGCAGTGAGTGGAGCTGCCTTTCAGCCATGTCTCCAGGAACTTCTGCTGGTCTCGCTCCTGTACAGTCTCCAGTGACAAACCTCATCTAGCCTCACTTTGCTCTGAGGCTCCGAGAGGTGACAGCAGGTGCCCAGGTCATACCGCTGCCGGGAGCGAACCCACAGGAGGGGCCAAGGTTGTGTCAGCTGGGACCTAGCTTCATGGGACCCCTAGGTCACAAGAGGATGAGGCAGGGGACGCCCAGAGCATCCCTGACATCCAGCCCAGGGCTGGGAGAAGTCACCCCTGCCTGCCCCACGACGCTGTAGTTAGAACCATGTCTGAAAACAAGAATCTTGCAGGGACATGCTGAGCTCAGCTGCCTTCTGGCTTCCAGGGTGCCCCAGAAGATTCTAGAGGCCGCTTTGGCCTGACACCTCCCAGCCCTCGTGTCTCCCAGTACTTGGTCCCCACTCCCCAAACACACAGCCCTCCAGCCAAGCCACAAGCTCCTCCTTCCCCAAATGGGCTCTGGGACTGCAGTGACTCAGGGCCAGCAGGAGGCCTGGCCAGCTCAGCCCGATGCTCCCCAGGCTGTTCTGAGGGACAGCAGGGCTGGGACCATCTCAGCGGGGCCTGCTCCCTCCCTGCCGGGGAAAGAACAGAAAGAGCCAGAGTGTCCTGGGCCCTGGGAAGCACTCGGACAAGGCAGCGGCTGAGTGCCTCTCTGGCCCTGGGGGCTCCTGCCTCTTTGGCTCTTCTATGTCCCTCCACAGCCCTAGCTCCACCCAACTGGGGTGGGGGCAGGCCCGGGTCCCCCACATCCTGCTGCCCTCTCCACTGCCTGCCAGCCCCTGCCTCTCCTGCACAGCAGGTGCCCTGTTACAGATACCCCTGTACCCTTCAGCCTCTGCTCAGCACTCAGGGTGCCCCAGGTCATGTGGGGCGCTGCTCCCCTCCCTTCCCACCTCGTCCTGCTTCTCTGAGCTCCAGCGCCCCTGGCTCCTTGTTTCTTCTTGGCTGGGTACTGGTACCCCCATGGCATGGGCATTGCCCTGGTGGCCGCCTGTCTACCCGGAGAAGGCAAACCCTGCAGGGTTCCCCGCTGTTTGACGCAGGGAGGACTCGATGGCTCTCGCCATCCTTCCCCAGGCTGTGAGGGTCTGGGCTCAGAACATGAGTCACAGAGCCACCCCCCGCCCAGCGTGTGCCTGGTGACTCAGTTCTCGGGTCCCTCCCTAGGCCAGCCTGGTCTTTCAGCCCTGGGCTCCAGAGGCTGGGCCCAAACCAGTTATACAAGTGCCCGCCCCCACAGCTTGTGGGTGCCAAGTCCACTTCCTCCTCCCACCTGCTGTCCAGGTGGGTGCGGACGAGACAGGACTGGGGCCTTTCAGGTGAATGGGCTACACAGGTGGGTGGGCAGGGAGGAAGACCCCATGTATGCCGTGCCTTGGTTTCCATCAAGGAAGGGCAGGAAGGCTGTGAGGAGGGGGCGTTCACAGCTGCACCAGGCTCCTGCCCCTGGCTAGGCCAGGAGCCAGAGCTGGCTGGGGGCTGCCAGGATGAGGAGGCCAGGGGGCTGGCCCTTGCCATGGGGCACCAGGCCTTGTAGTCTGGCTGGCACTGGCCTCACTGCCTTCGGTGAGCCACTGAAGAGGAGGTGTGGGCCTCCCTCTCCCCATCTGGGTTGGACAAAGGCAGAGTTCCAGCCACAAGGTCACCCCCACAGCCCTCCCACCACCACTCTGGGCAGCCAGCTTTCCCACAAGGCCCATGCAGTGCCCTGTGTCTTCGGTGTGGTGAGGATCCTGAGGGAGTCCCACACCGCCTGAGCCTTGGACAGGGACTGGGAGCTCTATGGAGGTAGTCTCACCATCTCCCGGGCCTCAGTTTCCCCACCCATCAAAGGAACTGTCCCAGCTGGCCTGGTGATGAAATGTCAAGGTTGTAAAGTGCCTCAGATCCTGGGATGAATGAGGCAGGGAAGTGGATGGAATGCGCTGGCAGGTGTGGGTAGGGGAGAGGCTGTCTTGGCGGCTGGAGGGAGGGAGAGGGATGTGAGTGGTGCTCTCGGTCAGCAGTGGGGACAGGAGGGACCCGTGGCCTGGGAGGCGGGCCTGCAGGAGGCGAGCGTGCTGAGCCGCTCTAGCGTGCTGGCCCTGGCTCACTGCGAGAACCAGCTGGGACCCTCCAAGCATCCCTGTGGGAGAGTGAGGGCGGGGGAGGGCCCATTTCCTAGGTGAGGACGGGAAGAAGACAGCAACAGGTGGCTGGGCCCCGAGCTGGCAGAGTCCCCGGGGTGGGCAGCACCATGGGAGAACAGCTGCCCAGCTCAGCCACCTGCTGGGGCCCAGCGCTCCTTCCTGTGCCCTCCTCACACCCCCTCACCCCAGCCGCCCTCGAGACACAGGCCCTGGGTGGTCCGGGCTCCCCATGCCTCACATGGGGAGCCACCCTCCTGGCCTCAGGGGGAGCCATTGCTGCTATCCCGCCACTGCTGCCCACACAGGTGTCCTGGGCCCCATCCTCCAGGGACGCCCCACCAGCCATGTGCTCAGCTCCCACGTCAGCCCTTCCCTTTCCCTGGGGCGCCTCCTCAGGGCTCCTCCCACCCTGAGCAAAGCCCCCCAGGACCCTCCTATGCCCTGTTTATAGCTCAACTCCCGGACCCTTCTCCTGTCTCCTTGTTTCCCTGGACCTGTCTATTGCACGAGGCTCCTGCGGCTGGCACCGGCACCTGGGAATGGCTGCCCTGCTGCAGACACTGGGCCACTATGCCTTCCTGGGCCACCAGCAGTAGAGGCCTGGGTCCCTGCCCCCCAAGGACCCCTCAGCCCTTGACTCCCAGAACGTGCTCCCTCCTCATCCTCCCTGTGCTCCCTCCTCACCTCCCAGCCCCAAAACACGAGAGCTCAGTGAGTAGCTCCGGGCCTTCCACACCTGAAGACGCGCCCCATTTCTCTCCCTTATTTGGGTGCCTACTCAGCAGCTCCCTTGAGCGCCCAACAAGCACCCTGTATAGGCCTGAACAAGACCCAAATCCCGGTGGCGCCCCAGGCTGCTCAGGCCTCTGCACAAGGATGCCAGGCTCCCGGGAGCAGCCCCAGGGGCAGGCATGGCCTTAGCATTGCCATCTTGAGTTCACCCCCACATCCCGCCCATTGGCAAAGCCAAGCCAGAATCCGCCCTCTGCCCTCTCCCACCATGGTCACCTCTGGTCTGGCCACCATCCTCCCCCACCTCGGCTGGCACAGTGGCTGCCCTACCGGTCTCCCTGCAGGGGCGTCCACCCCCCATCTCACCCCTGCTGTGCCACCCAGGGTGCCCCGGCCTGGCGCCTGCCCCTCCTCCCTCCCTCCAGCCACATGGCCTCCTGGCTTCCACACCCAGGTCTCTGCACCGTGGCTTCTTCGCCTCTCCCACCCGCTTCAGGGCTCGACTCAGATGGCACCTACTCAGACAGTCCCTAGTGACCCCGTCCACTGAACCTCTAGTTCTGCTTTGTGACTTTCTGCTCCAGGTAGCTCAGCTCCCTAGTGACCCCGTCCACTGAACCTCTAGTTCTGCTTTGTGACTTTCTGCTCCAGGTAGCTCAGCTCCCTAGTGACCCCGTCCACTGAACCTCTAGTTCTGCTTTGTGACTTTCTGCTCCAGGTAGCTCAGCTCCCTAGTGACCCCGTCCACTGAACCTCTAGTTCTGCTTTGTGACTTTCTGCTCCAGGTAGCTCAGCTGACGTTACAGGAATTCGTATCACACTCATTTCAGCCCAGGGACTCAGCCTGTGCTGTTTGCCATCGTGTTCTAGAACAGAGTCCTGGGGGCACCAATTAGGCGTTCAGAAAACATCCGTGAGCAGACAAGCTGCTCACCCCACCCCGCCCTCCCGCTCACAGCATCAGTCCGAAGCCCAGCCTCTGATGAAAATGCTGGAAGAATGCTCAGGGCCTCAAGCAAGGCCCCCAGTGCAGCCCTAGAGACCTCCAGAGGAGGCGTGCTAACAAGGCCGCTGTGCCCTCCCAGCGCTGGGGCTGCGCCAGCACCCAGCTGCCTCCACCATTGTTGGGTTTTGCCTCGAGGTCCTGGGGAGCCCAGGCTGCAGCCCCTAGGCGGTGCCTGGCCTGGGAACTGCCATCAGCTCATCCAGGGCTGGAGAGCCTGGTGTCCACATACGTGCTGGCCTCATGCCGAGGGGCACCCCCAGTGTGTGGGGGGTTCAGATGCCAGGAAGGCTCCACGCCAGATGGAGACTTAGAGAAACTCACAGGCCAGCAGAGGGTGGGGGTCAGGGCCTGGGAAGACCCTGGTCGTAGAATACAAAGCTGGGGGGAGGGGCACAGCTGTGACTTCATCTACCCTCCCAGGACCATGCGCCTCCTATCAGGATTTACATTTCAGAGCTGAGGAAACTGAGTCAGAGCTGAGTCAGGAAGAGCTGACAGCAGGAGACAGCAGATCCATGGATCCTCCTGCCAGAGTCCAGGGGCAGCCCCCCTCCCTGGGGCACCCTCTCAAGTGCAGCCACCCTCGCAGCCTCCAGAAACAGCTGGCAAGGGACTGTCAGGAGGTGAGTGGGAAGCCCGCTGCCTCCCCATGCCCGTGCTCCCCCCGGCCTCCTGGCCACTGACCACTCTGGCTACCGTCCAACAGCTCAGCCCGGCTGCCGTAGCATCCCAGTCCCCAGCAGGAGGCTGCTGGAGGCTTCCCTCTCCTCAGGGCCTCAGTTTCCCCAGTGTCCCAGTGAGGCTGTGCACGGACAGCTTCAGTGGCGCCCCGGACAGCATAGGATACCACGCAGACCCACTGAGGGCCAGCCCGGGAGGTCAGGCCTAGGCCTTGCACGGGGCCAGGCATCCCTGCAGCCATGCCATGTGGCCACCTGCACCCCCGGTTCCCAGCCCAGCCTGCCAGACGAGCAAAAGGGGAAACCGAGGTTGAGAGGGGGCCAAGGGCTTCCTGACCCCGAAGCCTCCACCGGGGCCCCTCCACTCACCCATACGCAGAGATCAGGGTCCCACCCAGCAGGGAGCCGAGGATGACGCCAACGCCGAAGCAGAGGCCGAGCCGGCCCAGGGCCTCAGGCCGTTCCTCGGGTGCCAACAGGTCGGTGATGACCATCTGGGCAACTGGGGAGGGGACGGGGGGCTGAGTGGTGAAAGGCCCTCGCTAGGCCCCTCACCACGACCCACCTCCCTCAACCCCTTCCACCCCCACCTGCCCCTCCACAAGCCACGCCCACGTAGCCCCCCAGCCCTGTCCAGCCCTTAGGGCCAGACCCCACCCGCACGCCGACCTCCCTAGCAGTGGCCTGGTCCTCCCAGGTTGCCCCCGCCCCAGCCCCACCTGGCCCCCAGGCCTACCTGGCATCGTGTGCATGAGTGCTCCGGGCAGTCGAGAGGCGAAGAGCAGGTAGACCCCAGGCAAGGCTGGGTTGGAGGCGGCTACCAGGAGCAGGTAGAGCACCAAGGCCGCCAGGAAGGAGAGGGTGAGCGCCGCCCGGGCCCCATGCTGGTCTGCGAACCTGGGGGCCGAAGGGTGGATCAGACCCTCATGGAGGCAGTCAGGGTCCCCCTTCCCCTCGCCCAGGGGCTCACCAGGGAGGCGGGAGTGCAGATGGGGATGAATGGCCTGAGCACCTGGGTGGCTGCTGGGAGGCCCCCCTCCTCTCAGGGCCTCAGTTTCCCCAGCGTCCCAGTGGGGCTGTGTGCAGACAGCTTCACTGAGCTGGGAGACTGACTGACGGGAAAGACCAACTCCGTGTAAAAATAAATGATGGAATCCTGGCGGGGTGTTGTGGCTCACGCCTGTAATCCCAGCACTTTGGGAGGCCCAGGTGGGTAGATAACCTGAGGTCAGCAGTTCGAGACCAGCCTGGCCAACATGGTGAAACCCTGTCTCTGCAAAAATTAGCCAGGCATGGTGGTGGGTGCCTGTAATCTCACCTACTTGGGAGGCTGAGTCAGGAGAGTCGCTTGAACCCGGGAGGCAGAGGTTGCAGTGAGCTGAGATCACACCACTGCACCACTGCACTCCAGCTGGGTGACAAGAGGGAAACTCCATCTCAGAAAAGAAAAGAAAAACGAAAAGAAAATAAAAGTCAGAATCGCAGGTGACCAAGGGACGGGCCTGCGTTTTACAGACGGTGTTTCCCAACTCCTTTCTCCCTCCTGATCCGGGCCAGCGGAAGCCGTCCCAGAGCGGCTGCTGGTCTGCGGCCTATGGAGCCGCCTCATTTCTACCTAAGAGGTTGCTCTGTCCCTTGCTGCTCTGTCCCATGTGGCTTGTGGGAGGATGTCCTTGTCCTGCCCAGAGCTTAGCGTTCCCATAGCACTGAGACCCGGGGTGTGTGGGGCCCCCAGAGTCCCTCCTGCCTGGCCCTGGCAGGCCTATGGGTTGAGTGGTTACAGCCGTGAGGTTTCACCAATCACACTCTCTCTGGCTATGGCCAGGATTAGTGGAAAGTGTGGGGTGGGACACCCAGAGAACCTACCAGGGGCCAAAGCTCTTCGGCACTCCCGTCAGGCTGTGACACAGGAGTGCCATTATCCCAGTGGGGTCTGGTGTGGGGTCGGGGAGCCTGGCTGGTCCCGGCCATGGCGTCTGAGAGGACCTCGGTCATTGTGGGGACAGCCCCCTGCACACACACACTGTACCTGCCAAACACCGGCCCACACAGCAGCTGTAGCACCCCGAAGATGGTTTGCAGGTAACCGAAGGCAATAGAATCCAGGCCCAGATTCCGAGACAGGTACTGAAACACAGGAGGGAGCCTATGGGGAGGGGCTGGGAAAGACCACAGGACCTGGAATCTGGGGTCCCCGGATGGGCAGTGGAGGGAGGAGGGAACTGACGGTGTGCCTATGGGGAGGGGCTGGGAAAGACTGCAGGACCTGGAATTTGGGGTCCCCGGATGGGCAGTGGGGGGAGGAAACTGAGGGCCTGGGCTCTGTTGACTACACAGTGTGAACGTCGAGGGGCCCTTCCCCGAGGGACCCTACTTCTTCTCTCCTAGGCGGGAGCCCGCGGTGGCCTCTAGGGTCCTTCCCCTCTGCGGGGTACACCTCAGAGAGGCACCTGACGCCCACCATTTTGTCTTCATTCATTCAAAACTTTGTAGGGAAGCCAGCAGCACTGTCCTGGCCAGCAATAGATTGTCCCAAAGCCCCCGAGTGACCTCCAGGACGTGGCCCATTGCCCAGCAGGACACTGTCTGCTCTGCGAGGCCCCAGCCCTCAGCCCCTCAGGAGGGGTAGGCTCGTGACAGCATCCCTCCCCGGGACACCCCTCCTATCACTGTCCCCATTCTCTGTGACTTCGGTGCCCTCACAGCCGCTCCTCCCCCGGCCTGCCTCTGAGTTCCTGACCCTCCTTCCTGTGATGTCACTATGGGTTAATTGTGCACTCCCAAATTCATATGTCTTAACCCCCAGAACCTCAGAATTCGACTCTCTAAGGAAATAGAAGTCTTCCAGAGTTAATAGGTTACAGCAAGGACATGACGGAGGGCCCTGATCTAACGTGACCGGTGTCCTCAGTGGAAGGGGAATTGGGGACACAGACACACTCTGAGAGATGACGTTGGGAAAGCCCATGGGGAGACGGGGTGATGAGGCCACAAGCCAAGGGATGTCTGGGCTCCCAGGGGCAGGAAGAGGTGGGCGGGACCCTCCCCTGTGGGTTTCAGAGGGAGCTTTGACCTCAGACTTCTGGCCCCCTGAACCGTGAGACAAGTTTCCGTGGCTCCAAGCCCCCCGGCTTTGGATGCTTTGTTACGGCAGCCCCAGATGCTAGTACACTGCCCCCCTTATACGCTGGACCTTTCCCTAAGCTCAGTCTTGGGGTCCCACTACCCTTCTCTCCTCTGTCCCCCTTGGTCCACACAGATTCTCTCCAGTGCCCTTCAGTCCCAAGAGCAGTCAGCAACCCCTCCCTCCCCCAACCCCAGGCTCCTTCCTTCAGCTCCACCCCTGCTCCCTCCAGGCTGGGGAAGCCCCCCATCTGCCAGGTCGCTTCTGTGTGTGAGCTTCACCTGACAATCCTCCCACATTCCCCTAGGAAACCTCTGCCTCCTCCATCCCTCCCTTCCCCCCCTCGCTGCTAATGGGAGGGTGCTGGGCTCCTCATCCCATGCCTGCCCACCTGTCCCGGCCTTCCACGTCATCCTGCCCGAGTCACATCCTGCCTTTTCCTCCCAGTGGTCCTCTGTCCCGGTTTCTCTGCACAGTCCCCTTCTGGGAGGGGTTGCCCACTGGAGCAATCACACCCCTGTTACTTCTCCTGCCTTTTCTTGACCCTCCCTACAGCGACTCCCACATATTCCCTGGCAGAGCTCTGAGCAGCTGCCGCCCTGCAGCCCCCTCTCATTCCATCTCCTTCTCTCCCAGCCCTGGGAGCAGGCCCCTGCCTCCCACTGCCTCCCCCTCCCCGAAGTCCCCGCTGACCTACGCTGCTGCCTCCAGTGGCCTGCTCTGGCACACCTCCCACTGCAGTGACAACCGTCTTGGTGGCTTCCTCCCTCCTCCCCGATGGTCTGCTGCTCTGAGTTGTGCTGGGTCCCCTGCCCCACCTCGGCCACCACTGCCAGTTCCCCTGGCTCATCCGACCTCAGTCTCCCTGCCCTCCGGGGGGCCCACCCACGACCACCTCCAAGCTGCAGGGTCCCGGAGCCTCTGTGCTGAACTGCCTTGTGTCAGCTTCGTTCGGCCCTCCACTACAATCGTCTGACTCAACCCATCCCCAGCTGGGCTCCCGCCTTTCCCCAAAGACTGCCTCTCCTCCTGTCCATGTCTCCTTCCTGGGTACTCAAGCCCAAATCTTCAGGGCTCCCGAGCCCGCTTCCTCTCACACCCCTTGCAATCCCTCGACCACACCTGCCAACTCCAGCCACCTCTCACCTCCCCGCAGCCATCCCCAGCCGAGTCCTTTGAGCAGCAGGTGGAGTGTGGTCCCATTCTGGCCTCAGCCTGTCCACTCCAGCCACTCTGGCCGCCCCACTGCCCCGGGCCTCTCTTGCTTCCTTCAAGCCCTGCTCCAAGGTTGCCTTCTCCATGGGGACAACCCCACCCCCTTCCCACTGCAGTCCCTGTGGGTTTGCTGTTGATTGTCATCTTGCTCAGCACCAGGGTGTGGGTGGCTGGGGACTCTACACTCTGTAGTATTGCAGGCTCTGACATCAGGGTCAGCTCCTGGGCACCCAGTGCGAGTTACTGAATGAATACACGCCCCTCCCTGTGAGCATGGGTGGCAGGCCGAAGCCACTCCACCTGTGCTCTGTGCCCGGCTGGTGGAAGGGCTGTGAATTCTCACTCTTGCCCACACCACCCGACAGGTAGGGACTGTTATGACGCATTTTATGATGAGAAAACCAGGGCTCCCGCCCAGCCTTCCTCACTGCTAAGGAGGAGATTCAGGGCCTGACCCAGGCCATTTAGCGGGTGTGGGCTGGGCTCCGAGGCACGGCGGAGAGGGATCCTTATGCTCATTATTGGGCTGGAAGCCTCTGCCAGGCCCGGAATGGTGCCAAGGCCCATCCCCACTCCCACCCAGATGCCCAGGTCCAGGCTCTGAGGGCTCAGAGGAGGAGGGCCGGGCTTCCCAGAAGCAAACATCGAAAGGCCTTAGGTTGGCCCCGACTCTGCCTTCGCTTCTTGGCAATGTGAGACTTTGTTCCCAAGCCTCTCCAAACTCGGTGAAGATGACTTAATGATTGCCATCACAGCTTCAGAGCCACATATTGTGCCGCAGGCCGCTGAATGATACACCAGACTAACATGAATTTGCCGATGAAATGTTTCCGCCTGTGGCAACAGAGATAATGAAGTAAAACACTGCATTCTCTCTCCTTCACGAAAACGCTGGAGATCAGTTTGCCACCACAGACCACTTAGCAGACAAGGACCCAGGAGGATGGAGGGGACAGACCTGAGCTGGCGGCGGGGCAGGGAGAGCCTCTCCAAGGGATGACCTGCCAGAGTCCAGACAGGATTGAACAGCCCTTGGGGCAGGAACTCCAGAGGGCAAAGGCTGCTGGTGAGAGGCAGGAGGAGCTATCTGCTAGCAGGGCTATGGGAGGTGCTGCCCCAGGAGCGAAG